CTTTTCCGGAGGATCTCTTATTCCTACTTTGAAGTGTAGACATAGCCATAGTGGCCAATGCCAGGCACCTCAGAGAGAGTGAACATAATCGGTAATCACCAGGTTATATACTCCATGTCACCCATTCCCAGCTTCTACTTTGAAGTAGGAATATTGTATTTAGAAGTTGTTACAGTTTTCTGCTGAGTAGGGTTCATTGATTAATATTTTCACAGCCTCTACATATAGGTGGCAAGTCTTCAGAGCTAAATGGAATTCATCACTGAGATAGATAGATCTGGTCAGAGAATTTTGACAATAGCATCTTGCCAAAGAAAATAGAAATGAACATTTTCAGCATTTTTCAGAAACTTTTATTATTTTCCAATTATTTTCTTAAACAGATCTCTCAAGACTCATTTTTAGGATAACTCTTTGCTTGAGATTGATTATTGAAAGTGCACCTCCACTCTGCATCATGTTTATGTTCCATTTCATCATCATCATGACAAATCCTAAAGGAAAGTAGCCTAGAATGGCCACTCAGATGGTTCTAGAATACCAGCCATTCTTGTACTTCTGGGAACAGCATGGGCCCACCCATGCTGAGATGAATTTGCCACAAAATCATACTTGAGGGGATGGAGCAGTATACTCTTCAAAATGGCATTCCCCGTCCCATACTGGACAAAACATCCAGATTTTGTCTTAGTACTGACTGGAGGACAAGCCACCCCAAAAGAGGACTGATTTAAAACCACACCAGTGGCCACTCTAAGGTAGCCTCCTTGCAGGTTGAGCACCACCCTGATCAATTTCTAACAAGGTCCTTAAGATGGTCTGGCTGGATAGTCAGTTTATTTCCATCACTAGCAATCTTATCACTTCACTGAAGCATCTGGTGATCAAGTGACCACTGACCAGATAGAAACATTCCTAGGTAAGCAAACTTCAGAGTTTGCTGTCTTCCAACCTAATAATATTCCCATACCAAGAAAGGTACCAAATCTGAAGCAGTTCTGATACAGGCAGTTGAATGATTCAGCTTCAATATCCTAATTTCTGATCTTGTTCTGACATTTACAGCTGACCAAGACAGCAAGAAACGAAACTGTCAATACAGTGTTCTTCAGCCTTTCCCTAATGCACTCATTAGCTGCCCATCAGATGGTAGCTGGTTACAGTCTACTCCGATCTGCTTGTAGCTGCATAAGCAGTCCTCTTCATAGGACACACAAGGAGCAGAGAGGATGAGAGAAAGAACTGGACTAGGGAAAGCATCAGAGGGGTAGCTGAGTTAGTCTGTAACTGGAATAGTCTAGCAGCACCTTAAAGACTAACAAAAAATGTGAATGGTATCATAAGCTTTCATGGGCACAACTTACTTCTTCAGATGACAAGGCAGCCAAACAGGGGGAAGGAGTTGGTGAAAGTCCTCTGGAAAGAAACATTTATTTTTCTGGTTACGGATGTGCAAACAATCCTGTATTTTTTCTTAATATTGAGCTATGAATATATACAGCCAAATGTATAGGATTTACACACTTATTGCAGTGAGAAAAGGGGAGGGGGACAGCCCAAATGGCTTCTCTTATTGCACACCTGACCAAGGACAGGGCATTGTAATAGTCTTTGCCTTCATGGTGTGCAAGGATTACATTTGGCTACCATCTGTGCTTGTCCAGTGCTGATTCTCCAGAGGGAAAGCTGAGGCATGGAGGTCATAGCTCCCCATAGCTTACCTCCTGCCCTTGCCAGGAATGCTAGCTGGGCATAAAAAGGAATAGACCCTATAACTTCTTGAAGGCCTCATTACTCCTATGTTCCCTGAAAGTACTGTGCTTACTAGGAAGTTCATCTCTATGCTACTTTAACATAGGGCATTTCTTTAGGCATAATAGAAACTTTTGAGTGTTCAGAAGTTGATAGGTATGCATATAAGAAAAAGAATGCACGTTAAATGTAGAGGAATGTAGGGAATTTAGCAGTAACAAACTCTGTTCCACTGAAGCACTTTCCAAACATTTTACAGCACACATGTACCTTTTGTTCTGTACTGTTTTTCATTATTATTAAAATGAATATATTTATTATTGCCCACTAATTATGTCATCATACCAAGGCTTATACAATACATAATATATTAATCTGCTTTGTAACAAATAATTATTAGAACAACCATATTCCTCCTGTGTGTCTGAATGTCTTTAAATGTGGACTGTACAATACTATTTGCAGGCTGCACATGCTAGCTACCTAAGGGTTGTCAAATATGTCTGCTATAAAAGGCTCAGCACTTAGGGGGCTGTCAATCAAATCTGTTATGAGAGATTTCAAGAATCATTTTTCCAAAAGTACTTATCAAAATTAAAAAAATACAACAAATTTACATGAAAACACCCAAATGCAGTCTGATCACATCATTTTTATGGTGAAAGTGGTTTGAATAAGCACAAACTATAAACGTGAATCAAACACAGGCCAAGCTGTCTGTAGAAACATCTTACTATAAACAGTGTTCTTTTTTCAGGGGGTAGCCATGTTAGTCTGTTTCAGCAAAAACAACAAGGAGTCCTGTGGCACCTTAAAGGCTACCACATTTATTTGGGAATAATTTTTTGTGGGCTGGAGCCCACTTAGGCTATGTCTACGCTGCAAAGCTTTTCTGGGATACCTTCAGTATCCCAGAAAAGCTACGCCACGTCCAAGGAACGCGTCCACTTTTTCGGAACAATTTCCAAAAAAGCAGATGCATTCTTTTGCCATCCCTGTAATCCTCATTGTATGAGGAAGAAGGGATGTATCAAAAGAGGAGGTTTTTCTGAAATTTGGCCCCATGTAGACAGGCCAAATTTCGGAAAAGCCTCTTCCAAAAGAAAAGCAGAAAAAGATATGCAAATTGCGGATCTCAATTTGCGTATCTTTTCCCAACTTTTCTATGCAGTCTAGACATAGCTTTAGTCAGATGCATGTTATTCCCTTAGGGTACATCTACACAACAGGGCTAAAGTTGAATTAAGCTATGCAACTTCATCTGCGTCAATTGCATAGCTTAGGCCAAAATAGCTTAATTCAGCTTTTGCTGCTGTCTACACAGCTTGAAGTGGATGGAAGAATACTCTTCCTTCGACTTCCCTTACTGCTCATGAAATGAGGCGTTGGTTTACCAAGAGTTGAGTAAGTCTTCTAGCTCAATATTATTTTGGAACAACGTTAGTTATTCCGAAATAACGCTGCTGTGTAGCTGTACCCTCACATAGCTTTTCCTTTCTATCAAAGCCATGGAAATCAATGCAAGTATCTGGATCAGGTCCTAAATATCATGTCTCTTTTTTTCTTCAAAATACCTTTTCCCCTTATCTATATTTTTTCAATATTTTTTAATTCTGTAAATCACTTGGATATAGTAATTGTTTTTTCAGTTTCAGAGTAGTAGCTGTGTTAGTCTGTATGTGCAAAAATGAGGAGTCCTGTGGCACCTTAAAGACTAACAGATTTGTTTGGGTATAAGCTTTCATGGGTAAAAACACTTTGTCAGATGCATGGAGACACACTTTTCAGTCATATTTTTCACTGGGTCCCCAGGACTGCACAGGTTTATACACATGGATAGTACTGTCTAAACCCTTATTTTTGAAAGTGAGTGTTTTGGGATTGTGAAATTTGGCTTTTTTTAGTTGTCTGCCCTAAACTTTACCCCTTATATTTACGACCCTTGCTATCACTGGTACAAATCCATCAGTGGTAGCAACAGTTAGAACTCAAAGAGAAGACAAAAGTTTTGCATGGGTGTAACTAGACTGTTGTAGCAAACCAGTGCAAATTCCTAATGAAGAAACACTGCACTTATGTAAAATGGTTGTACATTAATGTGACTTAGCCTGTTTTTAACCCTATGGCTGTGTCTACACTGGCATGAATTTCCGGAAATGCTTAAAACAGAATAGTTTTCGTTATAAGTATTGCCAGAAAAAAGCGTCTACATTGGCCACAGATGCTTTTCTGGAAAAGCCCTTTTTCCGGAAAAGCATCTGTGGCCAATGTAGACGCGCTTTTCCGGAAAAGCGCGTCTACATTGGCCACAGATGCTTTTCTGGAAAAGCCCTTTTTCCGGAAAAGCATCTGTGGCCAATGTAGACGCGCTTTTCCGGAAAAGCGCGTCTACATTGGCCACAGATGCTTTTCTGGAAAAGCCCTTTTTCCGGAAAAGCATCTGTGGCCAATGTAGACGCGCTTTTCCGGAAAAGCGCGTCTACATTGGCCACAGATGCTTTTCTGGAAAAGCCCTTTTTCCGGAAAAGCATCTGTGGCCAATGTAGACGCGCTTTTCCGGAAAAGCGCGTCTACATTGGCCACAGATGCTTTTCTGGAAAAGCCCTTTTTCCGGAAAAGCATCTGTGGCCAATGTAGACACTCTTTTCTGGAAATACTTATAACGAAAACTATTCTGTTTTAAGCATTTCCGGAAATTCATGCCAGTGTAGACACAGCCTATTAGTAAAGGGAGGAAGATGAGTATGTGGCCCTAACTTCCCACTAGCTTGTGTATTGTGCAGTAATTTATAATTCTATAAGAAGTGGTTTACAGTAGTTTGCAACTAGCACTAATAGTCTGTGTAAAATGGGTGAAAAATGCAATATCTGGTGAACGTGAGTGGAGAATTCTGACTGGGTAACATTTTATAACTTTTTTGTTTCACTCTGCCCAGGTTTAAATAATTGTGCAAGGCGAGTTCTTGACATTAGAATTACAATGAAACAGGGATGTGAAAACAGGCTCTTTTCTGGCCAGGCCTCGTGCGCATAGCCTTCCTAGCCCAAGTTTACCTTCTCCTCAAACCAAAAATCCTGCACTATGTGACTTAAGATCAGTAAAAACCAGGAGTAAGACACCAGGCAGGTAAGGTTCATACAAAGTTCATGCCACTCAAGGGCCATCTCACCCTCTCCCTTTCCCCCTCAGCCTGTCACTAGGCAGACTGAATCTGTCAAAACTATCACAACTAGGCGCGGGAAAGCTCTTGCTCTCTCTATAAAACAGCTACCCCTCCTGCATGCAGTTGAGGGTTCCTGAACATTTAGAAGGCAGAACACGAGCCAGGTTCTGAGGGCTGATCACCCGAGGACCCCCTCCCGCTCACCGAATCTACCGAATCTTTTGCAGAGCGTAACGAATAACGAATATGCTGTTGTCTCTGTTGTCCCTTGTATGTCTGATAAGTGTGAGTATTGCTGTGTAAAGTTAGTTAAAGGTTTGATAAATAATAGTGTTAAGAGTAAGTTAGTTAGAAGTTTGTTAAATAGTATAGTTAGGAGTTTAGATAGATGTCAGATCTTATGAATAAAATTAATGTAAATATAACTGATAAAAATCCCTGGGCTGTTATTGATAATTACTTAGACTTAGAGAAACCCCAGGGCATTTTCCTCTATTGTATTGCAGTTTGTTTGTTATTACTGTTAATAGTTATCTGGCGCCCACGCATGTAAAAAGTTGATAAATAAAAAGTTATAGTTAAAAGCATTTTAATAAAAGTTAAAAATATTCAATACAAGGCTGCCTGTTTCTGCACCTCTCTGGGGCTGGCTACATTCTCGAACCTTCCATTTTACTTTCCACAAGGGACACAGTTCAAAGCTCACTGAAGTCAAGAATGTCTTTTTGTTGATTTCAATTGGCTTTAGTTCTTAAAACAACAAGGCAGAAAAAGGCATGATTTGAAAAACTTAACAGCTGCAGCATTGCTTAAATTCTTAGCAATTCTGAAGTAACAATTTTATAACTGTAGCAAAGAGTAATGCATCTTCCAGAGATATGGCAAGTGAAGACGAACATCAAAGGCTGCTTGGTACTGTTGCTTGGTCTTGCCTTGAGTGCAAGGGACTGGACTCGATAACCTCCCAACATTCCTTCCAGTTCTAGTATTCTCTGATTCTACATATATTAACATGGGATGTGTATCAAAAAAGCTTACGAGTAAGGCAGCAACAAATACTCTTTGCCATTCTTTAAGAACTAAATTAAAAAAATTTTAAAAATCGGTCCGTCTTTCCACTGTAGACGCCTATGCAACGCAGCCATTTCTGCTGAATCTGGGCAAAGTATTTTGGGAGTATTCACATTTCTTTTTGATACCATGATTAAATAAGGAAGAAAATTATTTTGTTATATCTGCTTCCTTATTATATTTTAGCTATTGAATCTTCAAATGTAAAAGCTTGAAAGTATCCAGAAAAACTATATTTAACATGAAGAGAGATTTCGCCCCTCCCCCAAGCTGGTCTGATAGAAGGTTGATGCTGTTTTTCTTTTGCAGTATTATATCAACACAGCACTACTTGCAATCCACCTTTCATGTGCCTCTGCCAACATCTGAAGAAGTGATTAATATGACACTTGGAAGGAATTCTTTTCCAGGACTCTACTATTAAAATCTAAGGGGTAAACTCTGGTTTGTTCTATGAGGATGTGCAAAGGGGTGAAGTGAGCACTGGAACCTTCTTTCCTTTTCATTGGTGCACCTGTGCAGGTGTTAGATCAAATACTGATTTAGTGCTCCCCATTACCTAGGAGTTGTCTAATGTGCCAGGAGGCAGCTAACATCTCCAGGAAAGCACAGTCATCCAGATAGAGTGTGTGGCCAAATTCCTGCCTTGCCTTCCCCCAGAAGCTGGTCTTGGGGGACAGCATGCTGCACTTCTCTTCAGAAGCATTTAGATCTGCTGTTGAGTGTATTCTCCTCAGGCCCCACATGTGGAAAATGTCTGAAAATCTTCGTATGACTTCTACAGCTCTTATTCCTTTCACCACCAACCAGAGCAGTTCAGAGGGTAAATGACTGAATTTAATTCTAACATGTGGCATAAACCATGTAAATAAGGGTATGTCTACACTTGCAGCCTATTTCGGAATAGGGCTGCAAATGTAGGCATTCGGAATTGCAAATCAAACCCGGGATTTAAATATCCCACGTTTGATTTGCATCTTCCTGGACGGGCACCATTTTTAAAATTTACAAGCCCAGAATAACTGCCCGCGTCTACACGCGGCAGTGAAATGGGCATTCGAAATAAAGCCCTATTTCTATCTACCCTGTTATTCCTCCTGTAATGAGGTTTAACAGGTAGTTCGAAATAGGGCTTTATTTCAAACGCCCATTTCACTGCCATGTGTAGACGTGGGCAGTTATTCTGGGCTTGTAAATTTTAAAAATGGTGCCCGTCCAGGAAGATGCAAATCAAACGTGGGATATTTAAATCCCGGGTTTGATTTGCAATTCCGAATGCCTACATTTGCAGCCCTATTCCGAAATAGGCTGCAAGTGTAGACATACCCTAAGATATATTAACAGAAATTGTCTGAAACATCACTCCCTCTAGAGGTGGAAAGCTGTCCTTAAGGATTTATAATAAAACTAATATGACTAATAAACTGGTGCCCAGAGGCACAAAGATATTTTAGAAATGTGATTTTATAATCATCAGCAACACATTAATGAAATATTTTGAAAGAAAATTTTAAACTAACATCCTGTTGACTAACACAGTAAATTCAGAAACTGACAGTATATACCTGGGGTTTGCAAATGCCTGTTAAATGCCTTCATTACCACTTGAATGGCTCTTTTCTCAGGCTCAGTGTTCTACTAATAGGCTTTTTTGCTTTTAATTTAACTAGATCCTCTCCTGAGGAAGCAGAGCCACAGAACAGGAATAGGAAGAGGCAGGTAGGTGGACATTATGACACCGTGTTGCCCCACATTTTTGGATGCCCTGAGCAGTTGTATGTTTTGTGTATGGGTAAAAATGGCCCTGCACACACTGGCACACACACTAGCAGCAGGCATCTGCATCTCTGAACATCGTAGTAGAAGCTTTTCAAACTTGGTGGGGTAAAAAAATAACACACACACACAATTTTAAAAAAAGAGTTTGGTGGAAAAGAGAAAATCAAAGAATGTGTAACTTCTGCAAGCATTGACACACTGACTGACTGACAGATGACAGGATGACACAAGGCTTGAGTGATTGGCGATGAACTATTAAGCATACAACTAAATGTGCATTACCTAGAGCCCAGCAGAGATAGCTTGGCACCATCTTTCTGTGAGGGATACCAGACATTTTGTCTCTTTTGGCCAAGCTTCCTGTATTATTTACCATTTCAAAAGGTCAAATTATTCTTATGTAAAATACAGTTAAAATAAATCACATCAAACGGTTTTAGTTTATTTAAATTCAAAACTACAAAGCATTTCCTAGGAGAGCTTTTCACAAGTTCTCCGTAAGAGAGATGCGATAGCCAAGTGTGTGTACTCACTTTCTGAGTTTCTACTCTTCTCAAACCATTGGACAGAGTAGACCCAAAAAGGTGGTTTGGTGATCATTGGGTTCTCAACTGTCTACAGTAATAATAAACTTCTGTTTCCTTTCACAAAAGGAAATTCTACACCATACATTGTTTAATATAGTTTTATAGATTTAAACATTCTGGCTATGGCTACACTGTAGTCTTCTTCCAGAAAAGCTTATGCAAAGGAAGTGCAGCATGGAATATCGCTGCGCTTCATTTGCATAATTAATTAGCAGCCGCTTTTGCTCAAGAGGCTTTTGCACAAAAAGGAGGTGGGTAGATGGCGCCCTTTTGTGCAAAACCCCCCTCTTATTCAACAAGAAGCCGTCTACACAACTCCTTTTTGCGCAAAAGCCTCTTGCGCAAAAGTAGCTGCTAATTAATTATGCAAATGAAGTTTGGCGATATTTCACTTTGCGCTTCATTTGCATAAGCTTTTCCAGAAGAAGGCTACAGTGTAGCTGTAGCTTCTAAATACAAAAATGCAAGGTAAGAGCCAGCTAACTGTAATTTTTCTCCACATGCCTGCCTATTTGGTAGAGAACATTTACTTTTGACCACCCTCTATATTTTGAATATGAATCACATATCCCTCTATTCCCACCCACACTCCATATAACCATATTGCCTAACTATGAACCAGTGCACATCTCTTCTTCATCCCACTCTCCCATTATTAGTCAGAGACATCTTACCCTTCACATAGTCCAAGACCAACTCCCTGCCATAATTACCTTCTCTGTGGACTTGATCAAACTTCCATTGAAATTAAAGGAAGGCCTCCCCTTGATTTCAATGGGCATTGAACCAGATCCTATATGGAATGACTTACATATGTTCACTTTTCTTAGACTTTTGCCCTTTCATAATCGGAGAAAAGAAGAGAAGTGGTCTGGAGATGTTTAGCTTTTATTGGATCCATTCCCAATGGCAGGATTCCACATGCACAGCTGCTGGCAAATATCACTCTGTAAATAAGAACTAAACAATAGAATTAATCGGGATGGTTATTTTTATTTAAGAAGTGATTTCCTGCCAAGATGCTGAGGTTGATAAATAAAATACAATAAAACATATACAAATAGGTGGCTATCAGTAGCCACATATGATGATACTATTAAAATAAATGTAGGGTTATTTATAGGGACCACACAGTACAACTAGAAATACTACTGTAAAAATAGCATTGTCTGCAGTTTTTTGTTTGTTTTGTTTTGTTTTTTAATGTGGGGAAGGCACATGTCTGAAGGGATTAAGTTCCACACCTAGAAACTGATTCAGCAGAAGCTGGATTACTGATCATCAAGTCTAGGAACTGAAACATATCACTTGTCTATGGGTCCAAACAAAACTAACCACAATTGGGAGATTAATCAATATATTTTCAAATATTAGACGTAACATTACTGATTTTACTATTTTTCTTCAATAAAATGTATCAGTCGATCAAAGTTGTAAACTATACACATTATTATTAAATGAAATTAAGCATCCGCTTGGGTGGGAAAATTTGTAACTATAATTGACTAAGTGTAATTAAATGTGGTCTATGTGATATCTAGAAAAACATGCATTTTACCTCCTTTTAAAAGAGAATCTAAATGTTGATAAAATAAATTAGGGAACTTGAATGTACAATGGAGGAGTATAACAAGACTGACTGTAATCAACTAAATGTGTTTTTGAATAGAAAGTTCTGAATTGTGAACAGAAACAGAATCAGTTACCTCCTCTGAGAGAAACTAATGTATTCCATGCAGGCAGAGAATAATTATGTTATGTATATTGCAAAAGATGGAGATATTTTCTTTCATTTCTGAAATTTATTTTAGATGTATAGTAAGGGCTATATTGGGAGACCACTACCCAAATTAAATAATACCTTACTTTCTTACTTGGTGGACAGTTCCATTGACTTCAGTGGAATAACTTGTGAAATAAGGTACTATTCAGTGCACATAATGGTTTCAGAATTTGGTTGTACACATTTCAAGAAACAATATATGATCTAAAATTTCAAAGTGCCTAAAAACCAATCTATTGTGAAATAACACACCAAAGAAGTACATGTTTTTAGAAGAAAAACAGGAATTTAGGTGCCATTTTAAGTCAATTTTAGAACGCAGCTCTCACTATGGGGTTGCTATCTAGATTTAACAATATAATAATTAAGAATTTCAGATATTAAATAGCAATACATTTCCTAAGGACCCAACAATACCATAATACCATGATCTCCCATCAAAAATGTCACCAGGGAAAAGGTATTTGCCTTGAATGTTTTCCTTGCAATATATCCAACTGCTTCCTCCCTCTATTCATTACTAGGAGACTTACAAGGCATTGCCAGGTTCTGGGTCTGGCCGAGGGCTGTGGGAGCCATGTGACTCGCTCATCCAGTTTTTCCCGGATGTGGCCTGGGACAGCAGGGGCCATGCTGCTTGCCCGCCTGCTTCTCCCTGGGGCTGGCGTGGGATGGGGTGGGATGGGGTGGGGAGATTGCCTAGGCAGCTTCTCCCCAGGGTTGGCCCAGAGAGGGGCAGACTGTATAGGCCTCCTGCTGGCTTCTGAATGGGGTGTATGTGTGTCACATGGCATAGTGGGCAATGTTGCCAGTCAGCAGCTGCTCCCTGGGGCTGGGGCACTTGCTGCCCCCTGTGGTCATTCATGAGTATAACTGACCCCTTCCTTTCCATTGGATGTGAAACAATCACATTCCATGCACATCCCATTATACTGGCACAACCATAGCCTGATCTTGGTTTAAGTTATGATAAGAGGAAGCTGCATGCCACATTTGGTGGTTGTAGCTCCTACTATTTAGGAAGAGTTCTTGATCAAATGAACTCGCAGATGGACAGACAGACAAAAACACACAGACAGATTCACAAACTCTCTAAAATATATATTAGATAATTTTAGACTGTAAACTTTTCAGGGCAGGAAATGCAGTATCTGTCCAAAGTAGCAATATTTTAGAACTCTGTATTTAAAAATATTTTCAAAATCTTAGTAAATATAATTGAAATTATTTCACTCATATGTAAGCATACATCACAGCAGAGCTGATAATTATTACATTGATGTGAACATTAGAAAAATCTAGATTAGACAGATTAGTTAGATCGGATAATACCCATGCATTTTCAAGACAGTACTGAAGTTTTCAAAATATACTATACGTGTCTGACGTAGTTGACAACATACTCAAGTCCTTTGTACTCATTGGGAAAAGCTCTTTTAAAATATTTTAGACGATATATTACTTTACATAATATATACTCAAGATATAGTTATGAACTAGTATTTAGACAGGCAACCAATATATGATCACTAACATTGATTCTTGAAATGTAATCCAATGCAATCCAAAATGACCTTTGTAAATTGATCAGTTTTATTTGTGTTTTGTTTCTTTTCAGAATATTAACTATGTGTATTTGCAGCAAGTGTGCAAAATATTTGAAAATACTAGCATATACTTTCTTGTTTCTGTGATAGGCTAGCAAAAGTATCCAGCAGACAAACATCTGTTTAAGACACAGGCATGTGGACTGAGGTTGGTGAGTTCAAATGCATAACTGCTCACCACATTATTAGAAATGTTCTTTCCTATAATCTGCTGTAAAAATGTCATCCAATAATTTTCAGCTTTCTACTTATAAATGTGATGTTTTATACCAACAACAAAAGTATATCAAAACCAAGATCACATCAGTGAAATCAAAGAAGAAAACAAGAAAAAGGGATATTAATTAATACATCCCTGTACACATGCTCTACATAATCTGTAATTTGTAGCAAATGGAAAGGAAATATTTTCAAGGCATCAAAAGCATTCTTATACGAAAACTTTCCATCTTTTCTAAACAACATCTCAGCACACTGCCAAATGTAATTATATCTTTTTATCCCTAGAAATATGTTCTTCGGGGTAATATGTCCCTGGGTACCTGCAAAGGAATCATATCTTCTGAACTTTTCTGCAGACGCAGTACCTGAATATTTTTAACTCTTTTGTTAATTTCTAATATTCCAAATTTTGATTTAGCTTTGCTTTCTAAATATTTATATATTAGAAATAGCCATAAGGTCTTACTCACTATAGATTTTTTTTTACATACCTGTAGTATCTCAGAACAAAGTTTGATTTTAAAATTACAGATTTTATTACTCTAAACTAATACAAACTTTATGAATAAATCTAAGAAAACTCATTTTTGAACCATAATGATATATAAAGAAGTATAAAGAAGATAGAGAAATAAAAATAAAGAAACAGTAAAAATAAAGCAGAGGTGATTGGAAAGCTGATTAACTAGGTTTTCTCTTAAATAAGCATTCCATATTGAACAGTTTTAAGAGTAGAGAATGA